GTTCAGTCAGCTGGAGGACTACGAGCACCTGATGGATGTAAAGGTAGCTCTGGACGTGGAGATCAGTGCCTACAGGAAGATGCTGGAGGTGGAGGAGCAGAGGTATGGCTGCGTGTGAGTGGAGGAGTCCTGGGTCTCAGGTGCTTTTGCTCCATGGTTGTTTCTGTTTCCTGTCAGGTTTAAGCTGTCGCCCAGCCCCTCGCAGCGGACATCCATACCTCGAACGCACGAGCACAGCGGCCGAAAGCCCAGAGGGAAGAAACGGAAATACGAAGGCGAGTCGGGGAGCTCGCCCGCCTACAAAATGTCCAGTCGTTCGATGGAGCGCGGCGCCGTGAGTGTAGAAGAGATTGACGTGGACGGAAAATATGTTCGACTGAAGAACAACTCAGAGAAAGTAAGTCTGTACGGGTTGTAAAGCCTCGGGTCGAGCTGGAGGATGTTTGACAGCTTGGTATTGGATGCAGAACATGCATTAATAGTCACATGATTTCATTAAAAGCAGCACAAACACGCCCAGAGGTCCAGTTCAGTTTCTGCAGAGGTGAAGCCTAGCAGACAGCTTGCAGCTACAGCTGTCACTGTTCGCCTGTCAGTCAAGTAGGCCACGCCCCTAATAAGGCAAACTGTAATATTGCTATTTAGAAATAAAATATTCTCCGCATACAGATGTTAGGACAGGGGGAATGTAGCAGCTTGTGTATCAGGCTGTAAACATGTTTAACACCTGTGACGGAGTCGCTGCTCCCTCTGCTGGATGTTGGAGGAACTGCAGGTTTTGCTGCTTCTGCCTTGGCTGCATGTTTTCATGCCTGTGGGTTTAATTGTGTAGGGATGCACGACCAGCTTGGGTCAGTGTGGTGTGGAGCGGTCTGCTTCCGATGACCTCCTGCACACTGCTGTTAACGATTTTGTGTAACATTCATTACTGGGAGGAAAAACTGTTACATGAACTACAACAATGTCAATATGACACAGAGCCAGCAACCTGCCCGGGTTCTTCATGCGCTCCATCACTCACTGACCCGTTCAGCACTGCAGTAATTCATCTGTAATTACATTTAATAATGTATATTGATCTCAGGACATTAAGCTAGCTGGTGTTAGAGCAGCCTTCATGTAAAATATGTGCAAACAATTTTTTAAATCTCTACAGGGTCACGATGGCGTGCTCTGCAGTTTGAGAAAACCCATTTTAGGGTCGAGATGATGACTTTTTAATTTGTTTCTCATTTGTTTCCAGGAGCAGTCTCTGGGTGGATGGGTGGTCCGGCGGGTTTACCCCGGCGCTGGAGACATCACCTTTCACATTCCCTCCTCCTGCGTCCTGGCTGGTGGGCAGACACTCACTGTGAGTCCTTTAACACTGTAGGAAGACTTATTGACCGCCACTGGTAATCACTGTAAACACAATGAAAGTGTGTGTGCGTGTTCGTGTGCGTTTACCTGTCAGATCTGGGCAGCAGGCGCTGAGGTGGAGGTGGAGCCCAGTGACCTGGTTCTGCAGGGCCACAAGAGCTGGGGGGTCATCACTGATATCAGGGTGATCCTCCTGAACTCCAACCACGAGGTAGAGGAAATAAACCACACCTCCCAGAATGCACCTGTACAATAAAGCTGAAAGTAATGCTTTGTAACATGAACACTTTATTTAACTCTGAAACTTTTAGGTGATGATTTTGAAGTGTGGCACCTTCCACAGCTGTACAGGATATGTTTGTATTACTGCGATTTGATTTAAACAGGAAGTGGCCGAGCGCAGGCTCTGCATGCTGGGTGGGGGTGAAGACGACACTGGGCTGGAGTTTGATGAGGAGTTTGTCACGGGGAGTGAAATGCAGCGCTTCCAGAGACAGGTAACCTCAGGGGGAAATGTTAAAGCAGAAAAGGACCAAGTGCAGGACCTCAGACCTCATGTCTGCTTTTGTTTTCCCGCCTGCGCTGCAGCCAAAGCGAAAAAAGAAGTGTTGTTCGGTGTCGTGAGTGCGGTCCACGCTCGGCCTGGACGGTAGGTGGGGGGTAAAGTAGCTTCAGCTTTTCCGCTCGCCTCGCCTGCTCCCATAACCAGATGCATGGCTTGTTTCACTCATCCATCACGCAGCCCAGTTACTCTGCTGTTGAAAGCGCAGCTCACTCGTCAAGTAAACTCAAAGTGTAGTTTGAGCAAGCTGGAGGCCGTCAGTTTGTTTCAGGAGAGAATTAACGCCTTCAAATCTGAGGCCATGGTGCTCTGCAGAGACGGGGTGGAGCGCCCACTCCAGGCAGGGAAAGACTGACACAGCTGTGTGCAGTGACTGCAGAGATGTGGATGCTGTCCTGGTCTCTGTGGAAGAGAGTGGAGCATCGTCTGAAGGATGTCTGGGCGCATCCTTAGAGATGCTGAGGACTCAGAGTAGAGCTACAGTCTGCACGTCCACGAGGACCTGCAGTACCTCCAGAAAGCATCACTGTGCTTCACTGCACACCGCTCCAGTTATGCCACATTCTGTCGTGTTGCATCATTATTAATGGATTAAATTCATTTTTCACCTCAATTCTACAGGCAGCACCACATTATGGCGAAGTGATAAAAGCAAATGTATTAAAAAAAATTTAAACTCATGAGATTAAGAGTGAATGTATTCCATCTTGGAAAAAGGCCGTGAGAACTTTCTGGATGCTCTGTAAAAGCGAACAGAAAGAGAAGCGACCCGCTCCAAGCACAAACGCATCGGCATCTGAAAACTTTGCATCTGAGAAGCCCGTGCTGCTGCTGCTCCACCCCAGCACCCACCTGTTGCACTCCTATTAACTAATCACTGTTTTGCCGCACGAGCTCTGTCTTCTGTAGCTCTCAGCCTCGTATGCTGTATAACAAGTAGGGCCTGATCACATGACCTCCGGGGGACACGGGGCTGAAGATATTCAGTAATGTCAGCAGGTGCTTGTCCATGAAGTCCTCTAAAGTCAGAATCTTGAACTGGACTCAACGGGGAGCCAAGGCAGCTGTGTCAGCAACACTGCTTAAACATGTAAACAATGAATTACAGCAATCAAATGTGATGAAATGAATGACCGTCTCCAGTTCAGTGCGAGATACAATAGGACTTAATTTGGCAACGTTTAAGTGATAAAAGCAGGACCGAGCCAGAGATTTAACATGAAGATCCAAAGTGAGAGCGGGTCAAAGGTTACCCCGAGGTTCCTGAGACGATTTAACAAATGTTGAAAGGGGAGCAAATCTGTCAGGAGCACCTACAAGGACTCCAGTCCTTCCTTCATGAAGGAAAGACTGGAGTCAGAGGAAGTTGTCAGCCATCCAACCTTTGATGGAGTTTAAGCACTAATTCAGGATGTGCAGCTTAGAAACATCTCGGGGCTTAACAGAAATGTGGAACTGAATATCATCTGCATAGCAGTGATGGCAAATGTTCTTAAAGTAGCTCAAAACAGGAAGTAGATCTATTAGAAACCATAAGGGGCCCAGTACAGAACCCTGTGGCACACGATGGCTGAGAGAAGTGGAGGATGACCTGTACTTACAAACCACCGCAGATGAGCATCGTTCAGACCGTCCAAGGCAGATCCAGATACGCCGACCCAATATTTCAGCCTATCGAGCAGCATGTGGCGATCAACCGTATCAAATACCAACATGAGGTCCAACACTAGCAGAATAAAACCTTTTCATGCAAAATGATGCAGGAAATGTCACTGCAGACTCTGCGACGAGCCGTTTCAGTAGAATGAGCTCTACGAAAGTCCGACTGAAACATGACACGAACGCTGTTTGTCTGAAACTGCTGTGAGCTGCTTGGCCTCGAGCTTTTCTTGGTGATAAACACCAACTTTGAGATCCGTCTGTAACTGCTAAGAAGAGTCGAACTTGGGTTTTTTAAGCAGGAGTTTACCAGACGCAGTGCTGATTATGGCGAGCACACAGGGACCAATAGACTGGAAGACATCTTTGAATAAAGATGCAGGTAAACTGTCGAGTGAACGGGACCTCTCTAATTTTACCAGATCGGGTGAAAAACTTTGTAAAATACCAGACTGAGCTGGAGCAGGAAGTGACAGTGAGGAGGTGGAGCAGCAGTAATAATATGGTGCCAAATAACACCTTAGATTACCTCTGCTCTTTGGACCAGGCCCTCGCATCTCTAATTACATCATTAAAAGAAACTAAAAGATCTTTTAAGTAAACGAGAGGAACATTTAAACGAGTTTTCCTCCACGAGCGCTCGGCTTTAAAACAATCACGTTTTAAACAGCAGGCGGGCAGGTTTCACCTAAAATGGAAAGGCGACGATTATTAAAAAGATCGGTGAGACCAACAGCGTCATGAGGGGATAAATATAAATGACCAGCATCAGTTTCTCAGCTGTGGAGGAATTTAAGATGCGAGCGCTGACCGTCCGGCGAAAATGAAACTCCAAACACAAACGTGTCCAGTAGCGCACGCGGCCTCCTGCTGTGGTACAGTGAGCAGGATTAGCCCCGCCCTGCACATCACGCCCTCAGGTTTGTTTGGCTTTGAAGGTTCAGCCTGTAATGCTCATTAATCTGGACATCCAGAGGTTTCCACCCCGCCCTCTGCTTCCTTTCTACTAACCAGACCTTTATTATGACGATAACGCTGCTGCTCTGTCCCCCTCAGGATTTCTCGAAGGAGACCACTTGTGCTGTGATGTGACGCCTGCTCTCTGCCACCGACCTCGACGGCGGTCTGAAAAACCCTGGAGCAGCTCGGGCCTCAGACTGCTGCTTTCTGGCTCCAGTAGTTTTATTTACAGTAGGACGGTGAGATGATCTCACCTGCCTTACAGCAACAGTGTCCCTCACGTTTCGTCGCTCTCGCTTCACAACAGGAGCTTGATTTTAATTTTTGTTGAAGTGTACTAAATAAAGCTAAAAGTTTCTAAACAAATACAACTTGTGCTTCTTTCCAGCAGCATGCAGAGATGCTGCAGGGGAACCACACCCTAAAGTGCTGGGTTATTTTCATAGCTCAGCTTCTGGGTGAAAGCTGCAGGTTGGGTGGGTAGACTGGCGTGGTTGTCATGGTAACGAAACATTTCTCCCACTGGAGACGTCCAGATGAACAGAATCCACCTTTTGGGATTTACCTGGATGATGGAGCACCGAGACACGGAAACTGTAGTTTTCTCTTTTCTCAGTAACTCTGAAAGCTGCGCTGCTGGTCCAGCTGCTCCTCTGTGGAATCACCTGCGTTTCAGTCAGGATGCATCCATTCAGCACATCTCGAGCAAAGCAGGCCGCTTTCACAGACCAATAGTTATCGAGCACAGACGTAACAGGCGGAGGATGTTTTGAAGCCTCCAGCTGAGGATTTGATGTCATCGTAATCAAATCAAATCACTTTTATTGTCACATCACATGTGCAGGTACATTGGTACAGCACATGTGAGTGAATCAATGAGCGTAATCCTCTCAGAATGACAAACATTTACAAAATGAACTTATTGTTTTATTATATGTGACCTGAAATGAGTACCTGAGTCCATAAACTGACCACGAGCCACAGGTATCGCCCCCTGGTGGTCATTAGAAGATCTAAGTTGGGAATCTGTGGGACTGAATTTACATCCTTAGCGTTTACTACCACCTGTTTAACAATGAAGATGTGGACGCTATACCAAGGCTAGCCTCTGTAGTTCTTTGGGGGCGTTTAACTACAAAGCAGTTTGGATCTGCTCCAGTGCGCCCCCATGCCATTACCACCAACACCAAAACACAGGATAATAAAAGTACAGAGGAAAATAAAAGGAGTCATTGAGTCTTTTGTGATTTAAAAGTTCATGGGGTCGTGAGCTCCGTCCTTTGAGCTGAGCAGACTTCCACCTACACCATCGTTTCCTTGTTGATGGCTTTGCTGAGGAAGTTTATGGGCGCCACCTGCTGGTTAGGAGGTGTTTGCGCTGACATAGGAACCCACAGTCGAACTCTCTGGTCAGTCTTCTTCCAGGTTTTGAAGAGATGCACATGGTAGCGCACAGAAACCTGGCAAAAACCAAACCAGCAGAAGACAATTTAAACATGAAACAAAATCACAAAGCGCACTATGCTTTCCACGACTGCACCAAAGCGTGAAACACTGACATTAAAACCAACATCTTTCACTCCAGGTTGTTAATCAACCAAAGACGCAGACAGAGCTTTGGTCCATGCAGCCAGTAAAACTCAAACACAAGTTTTCTTTGTTATCGATCGTCCGCCTGACTCCGAGTTTGTCTGATTTAGTCCTCAGCTCAAACAAAATAATCATTGTGGGTGATTTTAACATCCATGTAGATACTAAACAGCTGACAGCCTGAACACAGCATTTAATGTTATTAGGCTCAATTAGCCTCTTAAAGACATAAAGACCTGGATGGCCGCTAACTTTCTGCTTCTTAATTCAGATCAAACTGAGGTTATTGTAATCGGCCCTGAAAAGCTTAGAAATATGGTATCTAACCAGATTCTTACTCTGGATGGCATTACCTTGGCCTCCAGTAACACTGTGAGGAACCTTGGAGTCATTTTTGACCAGGACATGTCCTTCAACGCACATATTAAACAAATATGTAAGACTGCTTTCTTCCATTTGTGCAACATCTCTAAAGTTAGAAATATCCTGTCTCAGAGTGACGCTGAAAAACTAGTTCATGCATTTATTACTTCCAGGCTGGACGACTGTAATTCATTATTATCAGGAAGTCCTAAAAACTCCCTGAAAAGCCTTCAGCTGATCCAAAATGCTGCAGCAAGAGTCCTGACAGGGACTAGAAAGAGAGCAGATTTCTCCCCACCCATGCAGCCTGAGTGGAGTTCAGTACCACCTGAATCTGCCTTGAAATAGTGATTTCAAATATGTTTTAGAATTTATATATTTGCATTATTATAAACTGTAGTTCTGTGGATTCTTACATTTCTGAATCCATATCCGTACTCTTGAACCCTTTGAGACAGCTGTTCCTAATGTTTAGGGGCCCTGAGAAACAAAAGGCTTGAAAAGCAGCTGGCTGGGCCTTCTTTAACCTTTGCTCTCATGAGTATTTCTGCTGTAGGAGTCCATGGGGACGACTCACGTTTGGAGCCATGAGCAGACGTTGAGTATTTGCGTCACTTTTTAGTTTTAGAAGTTGCTACTTAGTAACTGCAAGTGTCCCCGTGCAGGACTGAAGTCTTCCACAGTAATCTTCTACATTCGAGTTAGTAAAATAAGACTCTAAACTCACCACAGTCCAGAACACATAGATGATGATGAGAGCCAGAGTGAGCACCAGGAGTCCCAGGGCCTCCATCCCATTGGTGTAGTAGAGCTCCATGGCTCCTTGAACGCACAGCCAGCCCGACAGAGACGCGAGCGGCGTGATGAACAGGAAGCAGGCCGCATCGCTGCACAGCGTCCTCCTCTGCTGCTGCATGGCTGGAGAGCACCACCACTGATGGAGAGAAAGAGGAGGCAGGAAGAGGATTAGCCTCATGTTTTCCATGAAATAGTAAAATGTCTGTGATATGTTTTCATGTTCCGACTGTTACTGCGTCCCTTATATCAGCAGGACACGGAGTTAAGACCAACGTAAGACAGGAAAACTCCTCCAGGAACCGTTTAGTGATCCTGCATTTACTAAGTGAAACTGGTGACATCAAACGAATACATTAAACTAATGTTTTATTTATTCACGGTGTGATAATTCAGGAGACTTTGTAGCTGCAAACCCAGTTCAGCTTTTACTTGGAGCTGCATCGAAGCAGAATAAACGTGTGTGTGTTTGCTGTGTGGATTCGATTCGTACATCGCTAACAGGAAGTGCTGCACCTTTCCTCCCCTGCGTGCGTGGAGCATCGCCTGAGCAGGCCTGTGTTCAGTGTGTAGCTTAGCCTGGCACAGCACACGGTGCTTAATCAGCAGATTACCAGCCAAGAATGCACCTACAGAGAGCACCGAGGCCACTCTCCTGTCCTCTGCAGCAAAGAAGCACCGGCTAATCTGCCTCGCAGGCTAAGTGGCTTTATGGACAGCGAGCTGACGGCAACAGGTTCTCCAACGTGAAGCCACCAACTCCTCCCACTGAGTCTGACATGCCACCATTCAGGAAAAAGAGCCAGCCTTCACTCTTTGCTCTGTCTGCTCTGCAGCAGAAGCCGGCGAATCCTTCTTTTTTAACTTCAATCAGCCTCATTCATCTGCCTCATCTCACAAAGATGTTTCTCTGCAGGCTGAGCGTGACACGAGGAGAGGACACTACAAAAGATGACAAATATATTCTCATGTTCAGCTCACGAAGCCACTTGGTTTCATTAATCCAGGGTTGAGACATTAGAGAAGTGTGGCTGTCTCGGTCACAAGTCTGCCGCTGAAACCCTCTGTGAGTCGAGTCCTGAGCATCAGTGTGGTGATGGGCCTACCTCAGTCAGAGGCTTTGGCACACGCTCCAGCACAAACTGGTGATGGCAGAGCTCGCAGTGGCCGCTGTCGGAGGCGGTGAGCCACTGTTCCAGGCAGCTCCGGTGCACCGAAGCCAGGCTGCCGGAGCACTCGCAGGGGGACAGCAGCTCTCCTGACGCCCGGCCTTCGTGGCAGATCCTGCAAAACTGCTCCTCACTGCACAGAGCGACACACGAACAGAGACGACAGGAAGTCTGCAAAGGCAGTTTTCTACTTTGACATTCAGAAGGTAAAAACTTTGCATAAATGAAAGGAAAGGATTCATCCTGCCTTGTAGATTTACTCACAGGAAAGAAAAATATTAAACACAATATTTTTCTTCTGTCTTCAAATGTATAATGAAAATATATCATGACCTCTTTCATGGTGTTTTTTAATATGTGTCATCTCACTGTGATGTTACTGGATCTGAGTGGAAACGACACCATGCAGGATTCAGGGTGAAGCATTTGTTTGACTGAAGACTGGAGACTCTGAGGAAAGTCATCGAGGTCATAGCTTCTCGTCACTAACCAAGAACCCTTCAGAAACGCAGCCTCTGTGAGTACTGCTGTTAACCATGTCCATTCTTTTATATCCACAGTGTACTCCTCTCCTATTGGCTGCGAGTAGCTGGATGATTCACAAACGTACACCCTGAACGTCCACCGTTATCAGACCTGTCCAGCGGAGCGCGTTTGGGAAGTGGTGAAATGCATCACCAGCATATCTGCAAGGTGCATCCAAGCGGCAACATAAAGGGCCTAAAATTATAGTTTAGAAACTGCAGTTCCGCTAACGTCCAGCAGAGGCAGCAGTGAGTCAGGCCCCATAGACTTCCATGTTAAAACTTTACAGCAGAAATCAACATGTTTACAGCCTGATACGCAAACTGTCTGTGGATCCTCCTTCATAACACCTGTACAGGGGAGGCTGTTTCTATCACTCACCTGTTTAAATGGTTTTAAGCCTTAAAGTTTGCATTATTAGGGGCGTGGCCTCTTTGACTGACAGGTGGCTGTAGCTACTAGCTGTCTGCTAGCTTCACCTGGACCATGTTTGTGCTGTTGGAGCCTTTTAACGACGTCATGTGACCAATAATATGACTGCTGTGAGGTCACTGCACTAACAGCCCGTCTGGCTCCAGTTCTGGTAAAATTCGAGGATTGTGATTGGACTAAGCACTAATTGGCAGGTACCCGTCTCTGTGCGATGCTCCCATAAAACCCATTTAAACTGGGTTGGTGGTTCAGGCTGTAATTTCGTGTCCAGGAAAGGCTTCGTCACTCTGGGTGATTTCAAACGTTGATAGCGTTACAGAGGTGATGAACTTTCAGCCTCTGTGCTTCTGCTCCGGTTACCTGTCTGTGATGGATGCACACTCCGCAGTGGGCGTGTCTCCGTGATAGCACATCACTTCCTGGCTGCTGCTGTGGAGCTCTTCATCCAGCGCAGGCTCAGGGATGAACTTGACCTCCTCCACAGGACTGGACCCCCACCGGCCCACCGGATCCTCCACAGTCATATCTGCAGTACGAGGGGCCATTCACTCCACGTCCACGTCACATCTGCCACACACACACACACACACACACACACACACACACACACACACAC